TTCCCAGTCGAGCACATCGCTCACGTAATGACCTGGAATTAAATATGTGATAATAAATGATGTAACACACGGTAGATGGATAAATAAGGCGGCTTTACTGGCACGAACACTTTTCTGAACTCAGTCAAAAAACTGCAACCCGTGGAGAATTGAAAACAGCAAAAAATGAATAAATTAATTAAATCCCAACGTTGCAGTAAACCAATGCACTACGATTATCATAATGGTGGCACCCAATGCATCTCTAAAAAACATGTTTCTTTTCATTTTCTAAATGCAATCACAATCACAGTAACGTACAACAAGTAACGGTTCAAATCAGACTATATACCAAATATGCAACAGGAAGAAGCCACGGCACCTGAGCTCGAACACCGTCAGTGCGTCAAGCAATAAGTGGGAAAAGGGCAATTACTCCAGGTTTGACCTTTCTCATAAAATGCTAGACCGGTGCGGATTATGTTCCGCATTTAACAGCGATTGTGCACTTCCTGAATTTGAACTAAACTTTTTAAATAACGTGTTGAAGTAATAAATGAAAAGAGGTTTTCAAACAAAATAATATTTGCAAACATTAATTCAAAAGAACATTATCCAGATTCCCCTGAAATTTCTTTTGAAGAACACCTTCTACTTTAAAAGGTGTGAAGTACATTGTATTCTATAACTTTCAATGGTTGTACATTAGATATACTACCATGATAAATTGCTAATAGAATAGTATCGAACAAACGAGATGCAAAGCAAGGCGGTGCTCTCCATTAAAATCTATGTTTATCAGGGAGTAGCAGTACAACGGGTTTGTAGCCTGCTGTTCAGTTTAGTGGTGCTGGGTTGAAACTCCACATGTGGCATAAATTCTCTTATTAATTGTTAATAGGCTTAAACAAGAAATTCACTCCAGTGTGCTTTAGTACACCCAGCACAAAAACGGGTAGCACCGCTGACCTGTAAATAATGGGGATATGGTGTTTGGTGTGGTCATGCCAAACTGTACGAGAAATACGGCCATGTTGTGTACAACATGCACCCTAAACCACCTATTAATTGACTAAAAATTAACAGAAGGTGTAAAAGTAAATTTAAATTAAAAATTTAATCTCGACGGACAACATCCATTTGAATAAAAATGCCCAAGGAGCCAATTCCGTCCTTGTTTTAATTCCGGCAATTTCCTCTTAATCCAACAGAAATTATCCACAATACAAAATATGCATTTCAGCCAAGGAATAATATGGCTTAGCGGTCAATTACTAATCATCACAACAACTGCAAAAAACAGCAAATGCAAATGAAGAGATTTATTATGAAAATATGCATAAAATACAAAAGCTGGTCCTACTACGAAAATGAATGCTCACCTGTTGAGTATCGTTGTCCAATGTGACTGACAATACCGCACAAACGATATGTTTTACGACGTATCGCATCTGAAGCGTCGTCATCGTCCACGACAAACTTCAAAACCTAAATGAATTCGTTAATACGCACCGAAACTTTACGATTAATCGTAGAGTGAAACAGAACAGTATCCACGTATCCGTAGATTGACAAACTTTTGAATTAAGAACTTTTGAACAAATTACAGATTTATGAATGTTTTTAAACTACTAACATCATAATAGTAACAATTAGTAATTAATAACGTTAACTAATCATAATACTGATTAATTACTAACATTACAATAGTAACCTTATTTTCTCAACAACGAAGAACCAACCTTTTACGAAAGTCGAAAATCACTGCCACAAAGGCAGTTTGTTACATTTTACGTAATTTCTGATATCTGTACTGTAACTCAGTAAGAACAGTAGAGCGTAAACTTCGACCTCTGTAAATTCCTGCAGTGAAAACTAATTCCTTATCTAATGTCTGCTTCAGGCATATCCACCTACACGTTATTCAGATGCCGTAGAAGTCAGTACGACAACGTCGTGGAAATTTTGAAAGGCGAAGTGATGTTGTTAACATTTCAGTTCTGCAATAAGGCATAAAAATACGCATAATAAAGAGGAAACGAAACGCCTTTTAGCGTTTAAACATGCGTTCCACTAATTCATGCTCCGAAAGTAACGACGACCACTTAGGAAGCTAAACCTGAGACTAAATGCTACATTTGCAACAACTCTCGCGAGAAGCACGATGAGGTGGCAGTAACTTACCTTATCAGGTGAAGTCCTAACGAAGGTGGGCAATTCTGTACAAGAATCATCATTTTCGCTAAACGTAGAAGAAGCACTAGTATCATTCGTTTTCAACCGTGCGGCGGTCTCGGCAACGGCAGATTCATCTGCATCAGGCACCCTGACTTCCGCCGCTGAAGAGCTTGGGAACAAACTAAACGATGAAAAACAAAAATTAATAGTGAAAGAGGGTGCGAGTCAACGAACCCTTCAACTTCAACCGACGCGTTCATCATGTCCGCCTGCAGCCGCTGGATATCTTGAGCCGGTACCCCTCGGACGGTGATCACGCGGCGAGGCAAGGTTCGATCGCTGTTAGCGCTGCAACAAAATTAAATGCAGGTAATGATTAACATCCAGAAGGGGAGCGCGCCGTCTGGCGGACGGCCTACCCAAGACTCCCGTCGTACGGGGCATACTTTTCCTGTCCAGACACAGCAAACGCCGAAACCTTGAGATACTTAGGAATGAACACTGATCGTTCGTTCTTGCGGACGTCGTTAAGTATTGCGTCGAAACAGTATCGCTTCAACGACATGATGATGAACCTGAGAATCAATGTTTTACAAACCTGCTGGAAGGCATTACACGGTGACCCTTTTATTATTGAAAATGAATCACTATGTATACCTTGGGAAACTGCGGATTTCGTGACGCATTGTTGCAACGTCGCCGTGACACTTCTCGCATTTGTACGCAACCACATCTTCGTCGAGAAATCGCTCGAACAATGACTGTAATGAACGCTCTTCAGTATAGCTAGTAATGCTAAAATAGAAATTCCACTAGCTGAATATGACCATCCAGAGGACTGAAGTGAAAGATTAACAAAGAGAAAGCAACACATTTTTCACAATGTTCCGTTTAACTTGTATTCCGATTATACCAGATCATTGTAATCTCGTTATACGATTTTTCCCTATGCACTGTATATACCTCACATTAAAATTATCTGTTCGCTTAATCTTACTTCGTTAGCGAGTGCATTCTGCCCAACAAATGTGTTCCATGCTCTCATTATGCTGAAAAATGGGATTCACAGACGATTTCATTAAAACAGTATGGAAGGGACTGAAAAAAGAAAGTACGTAATCGTTGGAATATCGGTCTTCTTCATGTTTCTACGAATGCTGGGTCATTTCTGGGGCTATTTATTTCATGAAGTTAATCATCTCCATTTTTATGCTATCAACCATGGGTGGGTTATCATAAACGCAGAATCGACAACAGCTATACATCAAAACCGTATGCACCAATCAGTTCTTTCCCACAGATTGATATTAATTCATCAACCTAAGAAGGAAGAAGGGGAGTGACTTGACTAGGGCTCAAACCCAGAACCTTTCGATTCCGAGTCGAACGCCCGAGCGACTGAGAAACCTTCGATCAGCAACAAAATACTGATTCAGATACTGAGTATATGGATAATGACCTCTCACGTAACTGCAGCAAGCGGCGTTTTGGTGAAGCGTACAAAGAATAATGTTAGAAATCCCAAGAGACTGTCATAAAATAAAATGACGAAAAGGGCAAACGGAAGATGAAAGTAAGCAAAAAAGCAAAAGCAGACCATTAAGATATCGACTTCAATCACTCTCAGACTTGACGACTGATATCTTTTTTGATTCTGACGCATAAAATGCTGCCTTGATCTCCGTTTTGACGTCAGCACAAGTTAACACATTTTAAAAGCAATAACTCTCTTTATCTGAGTGAAATTATTAGCCGGTAACCCTCAGCTGTCTTCCAATATAACGACAAACAGCTATAGAAAGGCAAGGAACTCGCATCAAATTCGAAGTAGCGATCTTTCGAAAGTGATTGAGATGCTCAATCGATCGAGTTACAAGATGAATATTTAAGGTGACTAAAGGTTGGTGTTGGGACATAGCAGACATTATGTACGAAAAGTGCTTACAGCAATTAAAAGGCCTAATTAAAGTAGCTGTGATGCAAAGCGGCATCTTTACCTGAAGTTTCATATTTTCAGGAAATCCATGGATCAACGTG